ACAGGTCCATCCACATATCTCTTCCCCAATTTTCTTTGTCACCAATTTTCCAATCATGTTTCTTCCAAGTCCCTGACCATCCAGCCAAACCGTTGGCTAGAGCCCATGAATCAGTATATAATCACACATCTGGCCATCTCTCCTTCCATGCAAAGTGCACAACCAGATGCAATGCTCAAAGTTCTCCCCATTGGGAAGATTTTCCTTCACCACTGTCCTTCAGGGATGTCCTGAGAAGGGGCTATAGTACTGCAGCTGTCCACTTTCAGGTGGTGCCTGCATATCGTGCAGAACCATCTGTGAACCAGATCCCAGTCTTCTCTTCCTGTGTCAACTGATCATAGGGAACTCCCCATGAAGCCACTGGTGCAGGCTGAGTGAGAGAAGGCAGGGTGGCAGGATTGGAAACCAAGGGCATTTGAGCCACTTCCTCATGTAACTTGTGCCTTCAGGACCTGCTTGAGCCCGATCACATATATACAACTTCCATTTGATGATGGAATGCTGCTGTGCATGACCCACTTTATGGCTAGATGGGTCAGAAAGCACCCAGTTCATGATAGGCAGTGCAAGTCACATGGTGACTTGATGACTCATAGTCAAACATTCAGTTTCCACCAAAGCCCAGTAACAGGCCAAGAGCTGTCTCTCAAAAGGAGAGTAGTTACCTGCAGAAGATGGCATGGCCTTGCTCCAAAATCCTAGAGGCCTCCACTGTGATTCACCTATGGGGGCCTGCCAAAGGCTCCAAACAGCATCCCTATCTGCCACCGATACATCAAGCACCATTGGATCTGCTGGGTCATATGGCCCAAGTGGCAGAGCAGCTTACACAGCAGCCTGGACCTGTTGTAGAGCCTTCTTCTGTTCTGGACCCCACTCAACACTGACAGCCTTTCAGATCACTCGATAAATAGGCTGGAGTAAAACACCCAAATGAGGAATGTGTTGCCTCCAAAATCCAAACAGGCCCACTACGTGTTGCGCCTCTTCCCTGGCTGTAGAAGGAGCCAGCAGCAACTTATCCTTCACCTTAGAAGGAAAATCTCAACAGGCCCCACACCACTGGATGCCTAGAAATTTTACTGAAGTGGAAGATTCCTGAATTTTAGTCAGATTTTTTTTCCATTCTCTGGCAAGCAAATGTCTCACCAGTAAGTCCAGTTTGTTTTCTACTTCTTGCTCACTGGATCCAATCAGCATAATGTCATCAATGTAATGGACCAGTGTGATATCTTGTGGAAGCAAAAAGCAATCAGGTTCTCTCCAAATAACATTATGACACAAAGCCGGAGAGTTGATATACCCCCGAGATAGGACAGGAAAGGTATATTGCTGGCCTTGCCAGCTGAAAGCAAATTGCTTCTGGTGGACCTTATGGACAGGAATGGAGAAAAGGGCATTTGCCAAGTCAATGGCTGCACACCAGGTACCGGGAGATGTGTTAATTTGCTCAAGCAATGAAACCGCATCTGGTATAGCAGCTGCAATAGCAGTCACCACTTGGTTAAGCTTACAATAATCCACTGTCATTCTCCAAGATCCATCTGTCTTCTGCACAGGCCAAACAGGAGAGCTGAACAGGGATGTGGTGGGAATCACCACCTCTGCATCTTTCAAGCCCTTAATGGTGGTACTAATCCCTGCAGTCCTTCCAGGGATGCGTTACTGGTTTTGATTTACTATTTTTCTAGGTTGATGCATCTCTAATAGCTTCCATTTCCCACCATAATATCCCTCACCCTACTAGTCAGGGAGCCAATATGGGGGTTCTGCCAGCTGCTAAGTATGTCTATACCAATTATGCATTCTGGCACTGGAGAAATGACTACAGGATGAGTCCGGGGACCCACTGGACACACTTTAAGTCGGACCTAAGCTAAAACTCCATTAATTACCTGACCTCCATAAGCCCCTACTTTAACTGGAGAACCACAGTGGGTCCCCGGGAATCAACATCACGTCAGATCAACCATGCACTGGGGAAAGGGAAGTGATCAGACATTTCAGGGACTACATCATTTCAGGTAGTCTCTGAAACATCTGATAGCTTCCCTTTCCCCAGTGCATAGTTCCCTGATAAAAGGCTGGAAGTCTCCTTGAGGGAGGATGGGAGAAAGATTAACAGCATAAACTGTTGGTAATGGAGTCCTTCCTCAAGGGGACCTGGCCTCCCCTTCATTCAAGGTGTTCTGGGTCTGTAAACTGGCTCAATTCCAGAAATTGATTGAGGGACCATGATTCTGTTTTTATAATTCAAATTAGTCTTTTGCCCATTAGACCTGAAAATTTTCTGCTCATATAAATTAAGTAGGAATGCAGTAGGCTTCCTATCAATTTCACTTCTAGGAACACCTGATTAATTAGCCAATGCCAGAGCTCTACTTGAGTCAGACTATTCTGATTTTTGCTTTGCCTCTGCTGTCCATTACAGTAGCTACGCCTACCTTGCCTCTGACGGTTGAGTGCCGCCACTTGGCCCCTGCCACCTCAGGATCCAGTTATTCCCATCGTATTTAAATTTTGTAGTTGCATGACTATGGTTTCCACTGCTAGATTTGACATACAGAGAAGAGCAATTATAGGGCTCTTGAAAGATACAGGTGCTGCCCTCACAAATCTATTTTGCCAAGCACTGGTCAAAGGTATTATCTTCTGGACCCTCCCAGCTGGGAAGAGTAGGTCTAAAGTGACTAATCCACTCCACCATCCCAATCTCCCTAAGCCTTTGGATCCCTTCCTCTACATTAAACCAAGGGAGATCAGGCATTTCCAGCTCGCTCACAGTGGGCCAGCTTTTAATCCACATTTCAGCTCATCAAACAAACAAACTATATTAGAACATTTTTTAACTCCCTGAGCTGTAACATTAAATGCAGAATCCCTGCTTAGTGGGCCCAAACCAATAAATTCAGCCTGATCTAACTCTATGTTCCTTCCACCATTATCCCACACCCTTAATATCAATTCCCATGCCTGTTCTCCAGATTTCTGCTTATATAACTTGGAAAATTTAAGCAGTTCTTCTCAAGTGTAGCACACCTCCTCATGGGTCACACTCTGAACCTCACCTCTAGGGGTCCACCAGGACTTTAGTCTAGTTGTAGGTGTAGAAGCAAACAGGGGTGTTGGCAGTGGCTCCTGAGGAGAATCAACATGATCTTGCCTGGCAACTGCCTCAGGGGAGGCCATTACTGTTGCCTCAGGCAGTGCAGGGTTTATCTCCTCAGACAAAGGTGGAAAGGCCGATGGCAGCATGGGTTGGAGAGGGGATGTTGCCAATACTGGGGATGGAGAAGCTGTTTCTTCTGGCAAAAAAAAGATTCATCAGGGTTTACAATCTCAGTGTCCCCACTTCACCAGGGTCCTCCCACACATCCCCATTCCAAGTTGCAGGGTCCTATTCTTTTCCAATCAATGCCCTCACTTTAACAGTAGACACCTGGTGAGGCTGTGCATGCACCTTCCATTACAGGTCAGCCACTCACATGATAAGAGCTTGTGTCTGCTTTTCCACAATTTCAGCTCTTTCTCTACAGGAAATAAGACTCTCACTGAGGGCAGTCTTAGGAGATTTAAGGTTCAGTATATGCTTCTGAAGCCGGGAGTTAGAATCCCTGAATTCATCATTTTCCTTCATCATTTTGTCCAGTGAACTTAGGAGCAACCAACCAACTTCATTAGTTTCCTAATTCTCCACATATAGCCAAAGGTATTACGTACAGAGTCACTAAACTCCTTGCCTCGCGTGAGCGGTAAATTAGGAGCATCAAATGCATTAATTTTGCATAACTCTCTAAACATGGAATGTTTAGTAAAATGCCAAGGACCATCAGTGTTTTCCATACTGTTAGAAATAGAGTCCTTAGCATTTTTGGGTCTAATCATATTAAGCAGCCAACTCCAGAATTCCCAAAACCAATGAAAGAACTCCATCCTTAATATTCTGTTCCTCTAGAACCACTCCTGGTACCAAAATCTGTATTAGTCAGGGTTCACTAGAGGGACAGAACAGGACATATATATATGTGTGTGTGTGTGTGTGTGTGTGTGTGTGTGTGTGTGTGTAGAGAGAGAGTTTATTAAGGAGTATTAAACTCACATGATCACAAGACCCACAATAGGCTGTCTGCAAGCTGAGGAGCAAGGAAGCCAGTCCAAGTCCCAAAGCCGAAGAACTTGAAGTCTGATGTTCAAGGACAGGAAGCATTCAGCATGGGAAAAGATGTAGGCTAGGAGGCTAAACCAGTCTAGCCTTTCCACGTTTTCCTGCCGCTTTATATCCTAGCCAAGTGGACAGCTGATTAGACAGTGCCCATCCAGATTAAGGGTGGGTCTGCCTTTCACAACCCACTGACTCAAATGTTAATCTCCTTTGGAAACACCCTCACAGACACACCCAGGATCAATACTTTGCATCCTTCAATCCAATCAAGTTGACACTCGGTATTAACCATCACAGATGGGGAATTCAATAAAATCCCTGAGAGGGCAAGTAGCAAAATCCTCATGAGCAGTCACAAAAAAAAGAGCAAGGAGGAGGAAGAGGCAGCACAGAGATTGATTCAATGCCTCTGCAGAGATCTTTCCCGGGGTGGAAGTGAGTTTTCATTCCAGTAGATCATAAAAGTGACAGTTCCTGCTGATGACAAAAGTCTCCTCCATATTTTTTGAAACATAACTCTGCCATCGCCATTTAGTACTTATACAAATGCATGAGTTTCTTTTTAAGGAAAAATGGCTCCTAATGGCAGTATCCCCTATGGCTCACAATTATGCAGCAGTAGCCTGGTTTTCATGCAGGTGCCTTAACATTTAAAGTAGAATTCAAACTTGACCACAATGACAGGTCCAGGGCTCATGAACCTCTGCAAACATATGGAATCACTATGTTTTTTTTTTTCTATCTAGTTTTGGTCAAAAATCCAAATGACAGAAAAAGAGATTCACATACTCTATTAGTTTCCTAAAGCTGCCATAGCAAAATGGTACAAACTTGGTGGCTTAACACAACAGAAATTTATTCTCTCATATTTCTGGAGACTAGAAATCTGAAATCAAGGTGTCAGTGGGGCTGTGCTCTCTCTGAAGTCTCCAGGGGAGAATCATTCCTTGCCTCTTCCTAGCTCTGGTGGTTTCTTGCAATCCTTGGTGTCCCTTGGCTTGTGGTAGCATCACTTCGATCTCTGCCTCCCTCACATGGCCATTTCCTGTGTCTCCCTGTGTCCAAATTTCCCTCTTCTTATAAGGACATCAGTCATTGAAGGAGGCGGGCCCAATCCAATGAGTATGACCTCATCTTAACTTGATTCCATCTGCAAAGAGACTCTATTTCAAAATATGGTCAGGTCACATTCACAGGTACTGGGGGTGAAGCCTTAAATATATCTTTTTGGGGGGACAGAATTCAACCCATACCTCATACTAACCACCTAGTCTGGATTACTAGAAGGCAGCACACCTGCACTTAGACTTCACTGAAGGCTCTTAATTCTTCAGTAAAATGCCCCCTTTTTTTAATAAAAAAGTTTAAATAAAAATATACGAAAAAACGAATTGGCTTCTTCTACAAAATCACTATTGAAGATACTTTTTTTTTCTCAAAAAGTCTTTTTATAAATACCATGAAAAAAATTTCATGTGATGACAGCGAAAATTTTCCTTTTGTTTGGCAATTAGGAAGCTTACTAGTCAGCACTATAATACTATACTAATACTCAGTAGTCTATAGTACCATAATACTACAGTAGTCTGGGTGTTTCTCAAGTTTGGATGGGGAGAGTAAGTTAAGGAGGGAAATGATTAAAAACACAGATGCCTGGGACCCACTCCAAACCTATAAAATCAGAAGTGATGGGGATGAGGCCCAGGCTTATTCACTTCTGACAAACAGCCAAAGTCATTCTCCTGTACACCAACTTTGAGTGCCACCAGCCTAGGGTTTTTACACCCCATTTCCCCCTTTATTCTCAGAGATGTATAGTTTGCAAGTTTTATATTTTAATGTTCTTGTGTCCTTTACTGCAAGCTATATATATTTTTAGCTATTTACAATTAAGATTAACAAGCAATTTCTAATATTCTACTTCTGAACTACACATTTCAAATAATATTTGTGACTATATTTTAGGTTCTGTAGCACTTTTCCAAAGATGACATACATTTTCAAACAGATGGCTTTATTCATGCTTACCAAGTCCCTCTGAGGTACACTGGAAGAAGAAACTATTATTCCCTTCAAAAATAAAGGCTCAAGTCCAAGTCAAACTGAGTATTTATTAAACACCTTTAATGTTCAAGACACTTAAATATCACCTCATCAGGGCAGGTAATAGCCAGGGAAGTACATCTCTAAATATGGAAAGGTTAGTATACCACTTAAACACGTACACTGATTTACCATCTCTTGTTTGTACAGAATTAGTCTAGACAATTTAATTATTTTAATTGATCAGTGTAAGTAGTCGTGAACAATTCAGAATAAAAGCGCCAAGTACTTTCTTTCCACATTATTCTTCTCATCTTCAGTTCACATATGAAAACTAAAGCCTCCTAAACTTAAGATTATAAAGTACTGCAAAGTACAATAGTCACTACAGTGAAAAAAAAAAAAAATACTAGTTTCCATAGCTGTCTACAGCTCAACTATCTGAAAAATACATAGTCGGTTTGAAGTCTTTTGTGAAATCCCTTGTGAGACTCTACTGTTGACTGTGGTTAGAATACATTCAAAAGTATAATCAGATTGCATCATCACCATCACCTGCTCAGAGGCAAGTTGAAGAAACATGTGCTCATGAGGCTGAAGCTGGTTTATTGTACTACACTCTCATGTGGGCTTGCCAGAGAGATTAGTCACCATTTTGCAGCTGGTTTCAAATTCAGTTGCTGCGATACAAGTGCAGATGCGATGGCTTACCCTAATTATATTGCTCCAGTTTAATCTTTCCATTTGTAGCATACTATATATTGGATCAAATTCAAGACTCTGGATTGGTTTCAAATAGAAGAGACTTCAAAATCACACATTTGTGATCCTCTCCTAAAGCTTGCTGATCATATTTCATCATTGTCTCTTTTGGATCTTCTGAATCCCCCCCCAAAGGTGTTTTTAGCTCTCAAGTCTTCACTAAATCTTGATAATAAAAACGCAGGGGGGAAAAAAAACAGTTCTTAAAGTTTTTTTTTTTAACAAAATAAAAGGAAAGTTATGTCATCTCCAAAAATACTCATATATTTTTTAAAATTTCAATTTTCTTCCTGTTTGGAATTAAATAGATGAGAAAATTCTAAGGAAATTAATTGTAATCAGTGGTTTCTAAACTTGACTGATGGTCAAAATCACTTGGGAAGCTTTAAAACACAGATACATTTCCCCCACTTCACCCTATACCTGTTGAATCATAATTTAAAGAAGTTTATTTTTAAATTAATCTAGAAGTTAAATAAAGCTTATACTGGTATTGCTTCTGAGAGTCAGAAAGAAAAAAGAGAGGTTCCTGCCTATCTCAGGCAGGTCTTTTCAACTGCCTGCTTCTGTCCATATTTAATAAATGCCATCTGTCAAGAATCATGTCCTATACAAAGAGATGATGTGATCAGAAGAACTTTAAAATAAAAGAAAAAATAAAATGCTAGCATCATCAGATCCACACAAGCTACTCAGATAAGAGGCTCTAAGAGGAGATTTTTGGATGTGAAAAACAACGATAAGGAGTACAACACACAATCATCTGAATTTTGTAAGTATCTGTTTCAATTTGTCGGATACATAGTTTTTCCCTTCAAAATAACTTGAAGGTATTATTTTGAAGACACACACAGTGAAACTTAGATTATGCATTTTTTACTCCGTTGTTTCTTATTCATTTCTTCCACGCTAGTGCTGGGAATATGGTGGTAAGAACAGACAACCCATGCCCTCACTATGCATACAGTATCATCGATGGCATTATAAAAATATCAAAATAGTTTTATGGTTAAAATAAACTATAAGAAATTCACATCGGTATATTTCAAAATACCCTTGGGGATAAAAATAACACATTCAAGTTATAGTTGACACATTATTTGGAAAAATCACTCAAGTTCTGCAATTTTTCCTTCCCAAATTAATACCAGTTTTACTTTATTATCTGATCTAAAATTTATAATTTATTATACAAAAATGTGAAGTTAAGAAGTGAATGGTATACCATAGGTTATTCAACACACTGCTAAAATTAAAAATCACTGTGTCAATTCTAAAAACGAGATTTCCCTAAACTCTAAAAGCTACACAACTATGATAAACAGAATCTATAGTACTTTGCAACTCTTAATATCATAATTAAACATCAAGTTTAATTAATAGAAAAGTTTCCTAAACAGATTTTCACATGATAGAATATGTTAATTGGATAATTATGGCCAATCATAAACTTAAGCATAAAAGGTGATGGTAAAATAAAAACAAAATCTTGAGGACAAAATTTCAAACTCATGCTCTCATCCAGGCCAGAGTTCCTGAACTATATACAATTACAAACTAACTTCTTTGTTATTTAAACTGCATTTTACTCTTTACAAATACAAGTAGTTTTCCAAATACTCCATGCTGTTGATGCCCCAAAGTGGGGAAAACAGATGAATTAAATAAGTAGAGGCCATGTTAGCCAATGTGATTGAGACCATTTCTTCATTTAATAAAAAAACAGCTAAAGTGGGAAATCATTAAAAAAAATGCATACCTTAAACATTTTACTTGAAAACAAATAAATCACATTCATTTAATAAAGTAAATACTTCTGAAGTAGCGGAGTTGTCTGAGGTAAATACCTGAGGTTATCGTCTCACGCCAAAGAAACTGAAGGATGAGGACACACGAGGAGTGAGTTTAAGAGTGGAGGTTTAATAGGTGAAAGAAAGAGGAGGCCGGGTGAGGTGGCTCACACCTGTAATCCCAGCACTTTGGGAGGCTGAGGCAGGCGGATCACTTGGGGTCAGGAGTCAGGAGTTCGATACCAGCCAGGCCAACACAGTGAAACCCAGTCTCTACCAAAAATACGAAAATTAGCTGGGAGTGGTGGTGCATGCCTGTAGTCCCAGCCATTCGGGAGACACAGGTGAGAGAATCGCTTGAACCTGGGATACGAAGGTAGCAGTAAGCCAAGATCGTGCCATTGCACTCCTGCCTGGGCAACAGACCAACACTCCGTCTCCAAAAAAAAAAAAAAAAGAGAGAGAAAGAAAAAGAAAATGAAAAAATTAAGAGGAAAGCTACTTCGTGCGGAGGAAAGGGTCGCTAACGGGTTTCCGGGTTCACGGCAAGAAGACGTTGGTTTTATAGGAGGCGGTGTCTGATTTACATAGGACACGAGAAATTGGTCAGACCAGGTGTGCCATTTACATAGCATGGGAAGAACCTGGCCCACCCCACCCTAATCTTTTTTTTTTTTTTTTCTTTCACACGAAGTCTCGTTCTGTCGCCCAGGCTGGGTGCAGCGGCGCGATCTCCGCTCACTGCCAGCTCTGCCTCCCAGGTTCACGCCCTTCGCCTCAGCCTCCCGAGTAGCTGGGACTACAGGCGCCCGCCACCACCCGCGGCTAATTTTTCTGTATTTTTAGTAGAGACGGGGTTTCACCGTATCAGCCAGGATGGTCTTGTGATCCGCCCCCCCTCGGCCTCCCAAAGTGCTGGGATTACAGGCGTGAGCCTCCTCGCGGGCCTCCACCCTAATCTTTTATTAGACAGGTGGGTTCGCTACCTGGCCACCGCCATGTTGCCTGCCTCTTTACTGTGCACGTAGTGACAAAGAAAACGGAAGGTGGAGCCTCCATGTTGAACATACCTGGCTTCCAAGTAGCCCTTTACTATTGGCAGAGCTGCCAGCATTCACCTGTGCAAGCTTCCAGCTTGCTTATCTATGTCTGCAGCTCGATTTTTCAGGTTGCCCTTTTGTTAGAAAAGAAATGATTTGGGGACTGCTTTGTATTAAAAAGGAAGCCTTGCCAAGGACTCTCTTACCCTCTTACTAACTGCCTAAATAATTTCTTTCTAGCTCCCGTATCACTTTGAAGTTATAAGAATAAATACAATTTTTCTTGGCATTGTTCCTTCCCATGTTGCAATAATATCGAATCCTGATTCAAGCTGTTACTTAATACAACATAGAACACTTTCTAGGGCATCTATGGCATGAGTAATTTTTGCCTCTGGATTGCTCTTATCTCTTCCTCCTCTTCATATTTAGATCCATCCTTTCCTGCCCCAGCTTGTTTGCTTTCTGCATCCATAATTTCATTTTCAAAAAATTTTTTTAACTGTAACCATGTC